CGGCAGCTTGCTTCGGAGGCCAGGTGCCCCTGAGCAGGGCCCGTCGCGCGTCCCCGAATACGAGCTGATCCAGGGGCGTCCGCGGCCTTTTGGTCACGTGCATGCGCTTGATCGTGGCCAGCTACTGCAGGCCGCTCCGATACCGCCCCGTCGAGAAGGAGCGCGGCCGCCAGCGTGAAGGCGCCCGCGTTGACCGGCAGCGGCGGCGCGCCCCTAGCTGCGTCCTGCTCCGCCGCGGCATCGCCGTCAACATCATCAGGCTGGTGTGCACTTCCACGGCAATATGGGTGCCGGACTGCAGCTCCAGGCCTCCGCGGGTGCGATGCGCGTTTGGACCGGATGGCCCCGTGGCGCCTGAGGTGCTGCCTCGGGTCCTCGTCCGATCCTCTGTCCGTGCTGGCAGCCCTGGGACGCCGCCGCGATGCCAGCCGCGGCATTTTCCTGGGCGGGCACTCCGCTCCAGGCCCGGCCGCGCGCGGCACTGCCTGGCAGCGCTGCGAACGCCCTAGCGCCATGCCGAGGGCTTGGAGGGCAGCGGCGATAGGGAAGCGCCCGCTCGGAGGGCAGAACTCGGGCAACTCTGGCCGACTCCGCCAGGGGCACATGCATCCAGAGCCCGGCGTAAACGCTCGAACTGGCACGCGCGGCACCCCCGTCGGAGTCAGACTGGCAGCCCTGCGGCCCCGACCGCCATTAGCGCCGCTTGCACCCCGCGGTTGCTGTGCAGCCTGCTGCGCAGCGAGGTGCTGATGGGCGCGGGGCGCCGCCAGCGCCGCAGCCTGGGAGAACATGACAGCAGCGAAACGACAGAAATAACATCGCGCTTGAGAGAAGAAGCCACGGAGACACCGCATCAACGCGCGCTGGGCGCATCAGCGCGCGCCGAGCACATGACATGCGATCGCAGCTCCGAGACGCGCCGACGACATCGGAGCGAAGCGCATCCGTGCGCATCAACATGCGCCAAGTCGCACGATCATGCGACAAACCCGAAGCACGCGTACCAAACCGACTGAACAAAGGTCGCTCTTGCGCAAAAGCAAACTGTGACCGCGCGCCCGGCCGCGCTGCCTGGGACGGGCCTGCGGCGTATCTATATAAGTCGCGGGAGTGACCTCCCGCGATGGCGCGGCGCCCGCCGGCAGCGCGCGCCTGCGCGCCGGTGCGCAGCTGCCGAGCTCACGCCGCAGTGCTGGGGAACACCCAACTCTGGCGCACTGTGGGCACATCTTGGCGGACCTTCTGGAGGCAGGCCAGCGTGGGGACGCCCTCGTGGGCCTGGGACAACTCGTCCGCGACGCAGTTCTCCTCTAATCACCAGTGGGCGGTCGACAGCTCGTGCATCGTTGGCCCGAGCTCGAGCTGCACCTCTGCGATGAGCACGTTGAGGAGCGGCGGTGACCACGCCCGTCTAGCCAACACTGCTTGCAGCACGCCCTGTGCATCACCAGTGAGCCGAAGACGACCGTGGCTTTGCGCCAAGCACGGGGCCCAGGTAGCTGCAGCGATGAGGAGGCCGAGCCCCTCCCACAAGGCCTGATCCCTGGGATCCCCAAGATCCGCTCACAGGTCACGGGCGTGCTTCTCACGCCACCAGATCTTGAAATAGCGATCATCGGGCTGGTCGGGCCCAAGCGCCAGCCATCCACCTCCGCCGAAAGGAGTGGCGTCGAAAGCGATGACAACCGTCTGGGGTGAAACTTCCAAAAGAAAGTGCCTCGGAAGAGAAGTGTGCCGCCGCCGGTAGAACTCGCAGATCCACAGCAGAGGGAAGCGCAGCCTTGCGCTGGAGAGCCGCTCGGCTGGGCGCCGAGCGGCTTGGACTTAAGTCTTCGTGCGGTCTCCCTGCGCAACCTCTGTCAACGCTGCCCTCGCCGAGGCGTGCTCTGGCCTGTGCGGGAGAGCGGCGCGGGCGGCATCCACCTGTTTCACCTCGGAGTTGTCCGCCCCAGGCTGCGACTGAGGGTGACGCGGCTGCTGAGATGAAACACGCGCCACCTGGTCCGAGAGCATGCAGAACTCGTTCCTCACCGGATGGTTGGCGTGGCCCTTCCTGACGCCCCCATGCCCAGTCGCAACCTGCGCCCATGTATTCCTGCACCCGCACTGCGCACGCTTCTTCTTGTCCGCGGTATGCGGTGGTATCTGTCACAACGCGGGGCGCCGGAGCTCTTGAATCAAGCTCTGAGCCCCCACGAGGGCTTGAGCCAAAGTGGCTTGAGCCAGAATGGCTACGGCCAAAAAATTGTTCCAAGACGGTCCCAAGACGGCCCATGATGGCTTTAAGAGGGTCCAAGAGGCACCTAAAACGCTCCAAAGGGGCCCCCAAGAGCTGCTTCAGATGCGACAAGCATGTATGTTCCGATGAGTTTGCAAGATTTGGGCTTCTCGCCTTTTTCGACTCTCGGGGCCGATGACGGCCCAAGACAGCCTCCGAAATGGCCCAAAGCGGCCACCAAGACGGCTCAAGATGCCCTCAAGACGAATCAAAATGGCCCCAAAAAGGTCCCAAGACGGCCCAACGAGGCCCGCAAGATGGCCACAAGACTTCCCCAGAGGCCACATAGAGGACCCCATAGAGGGCCCCAAGAAAACCCCAAGTTGGCCCAAAGAGGCCCCCAAGACGGCTCAAGATGCCCCCAAGACGGCTCAAGCTGGCCCAGAGATGCCCCCAAGACGGCCCTCAGAGGCCGCCAAGATGGCCCCAAGACTGCCCCAGAGGCCCCCTGAGGCCCCCAAGACGGCTCAAGATGGCCCAAAAATGCCCCCAAGACGGCCCACAGAGGCTCCCAAAATGGCCCAAGACTGCCCCAGAAGGTCCCTTGAGGCCCCCAAGACCTTTCAAGATGCTCCCAAGACGGCTCAAGATGACCCAGAGTTGCCCCAAGACGGCCCAAAGAGGCCGCCAAGATGGCCCCCAAACTGCCCAAGAGGCCCCCGAGAGGGCCCCAGGACGGCCCAAGAGGGCCTCACGATGGCCTAACGAAGCCCCCAAGACGGCTCAAGATGCGGACCATAAGAGAGCCACAAGGCCGCCCCGACAAGCCCCCAAGACGGCCTCTGAAGGGCCCAGACGGCGAAATGGCGCCCCAAGATTGACAAAGAGGCCCCAAAGAGGCTCCAAGAGGACCCCAAGAAGCCCCCAAGAGGCCCCCAAGGAGCCCCCACCCAGCCCCAAGGGACCACCAAGAGGCCCGCGGAGTTGTACACGACTGGCGCGCTGTCGCATGTTCATTGCAATTCGAATATGGCGTTGCCTTGTGCTGACACGCGGTGGATGTCCATGGCCCTCGTGGACATTCGCACGCTCGTCCAGGCGCTGACACGGGGTGGCCGCATCCGCCCCCCGTGGCGCTGGCAGCGCCCCGGGGCGAGCACAACGACACGGCAGAACAGCGCGGCCAACAAACAGGGCAAACCACCCAACGCCCAGTCTCTACGTGATCTGGGCGTGCACCCCGCGAAGCAAGAGGACTCCACGTCAAGAGGCGACGTGCTGACCGGTAGCGTTTTCTGCGGCGACTAAAACGCAAAGTAACGTATCCAATGTGTCCCAACACTCTATGATTATACACATCCTACACTTTTGCATTACTATGTATCCCCCCTGTACCCCCCTCCCCACTGTTGCGCCACATCCGCCGGTCTAAAATGCCCCCCCCCATGGGGCCGAAACACATACCAACACGTATGCACCTTATTTGTATACACGCATATATATATGTACTATATGTGTGCATATGCATGTGTGTATACAAAATGAAGTATACATGTAATGTTTCATCCATTTATTTATTTATGTATGTATTTATTTTCTTATGATATATATATATATATATGTATTCAGATGTGTGTACAAGCATGCATGCATACATACATACATACATACAGGCACACGCATACATTTATACATATATATATATACACACACGTACACACATACACACATACATACAAACATACCTCAATCCATCCATCAATCCATCCATCCATCCATGCATGCATACATACATACATGCATGCATACATACATACAAACAACCAAACATACATACATACGAGCGTACACTCATGCATATATATATATGTATATATGTACACCTGTGTATACATATCCTTCCCTTCAGCGTCGCGGGCAAAAAAGGACCGGACCCCAGGAGAGAGCCCAAGAGGGGGGAGGCGAGGGACAGCCGACAGGCTCAGAAAAGAGAGAGCAACTCTCACTCACAGAGACCGCCGATGATAGGGTGAACGATGAGCCTGGGAGAACTGCAATCATTTTTGGCACGTGCGCTCGACCCAACCCGAGCGTACCAGTTCAAGAAATCAGCTCGCCTGAAACTCTGTCGGCACAGCCGCGGCTGAGACTCCACAAGAAAGAAGACATGGCCACTGCCTTAGAAGCACACGCTGGCATAGGGGATGGCAGGGCGGGAACACCAAGACTACGGATCAACATGCATAGCTGATCCCCTCGACTCACAGAAGGAAAAAGGGAAGCGGAGCTACTGGGCATTTCCTCCCCTTCAGCGTCACGGGCCAAAAAGGACCGGACCCCAGGAGAGAGCCCAAGAGGGGGGAGGCGAGGGACAGCCGACAGGCTCAGAAAAGAGAGAGCAACCCTCACTCACAGAGACCGCCGATGATAGGGTGAACGATGAGCCTGGGAGAACTGCAATCATTTTTGGCACGTGCGCTCGACCCACCCCGAGCGCACCAGTTCAAGAAATCAGCTCGCCTGAAACTCTGTCGGCACAGCCGCGGCTGAGACTCCACAAGGAAGAAGACATGGCCAACTATCCAGAGTCTCGTCCACAATACTCTTGGCTATGGATCATGAGGGCTTGGGCGGGTGGGTTCATGATCGTGCATTGCGCAGTTTGCCCGGCAGGTTGGTTTTGAGAAAGTGCAACTTGGCGGCATATGGACTCCGAACTTCAAGTGTGACTTGATTTAGAACACGCAGGTATCTTCCGCGTTTGCTGTAGCGCATGACCGACCTCAGAGCAGCCCACTGGCCTCGGCGCTGGATCTCCGCCAGCGGCACTCCTGCGAGGGAGTCGGCGCTGGGCCCTCCGCGCCGCAGCATGTGGGGCACGAACTTCAGCGCCTCCATGCCCAGGGACTTGACGGCTCGCTCGAAGAGCTTTCTGAAGTGCGCCTGGCTGATCGGAAAGGCCTTGTCGGTCGCGGCGAGACCGCTGACCAGCGGTGGCAAGAGCTGGTTGAGCCGCTGCCGGTCCGCGTGCGTCTCGCCAATGAGCACGGCGTCGCCCTGCGTCTTCGTCTTGCTGACCACGCCGTCGGGCCCGGGGAAGAACGCGACGGCCCACCGTTGAGGCCTCATGCCTCGGACCGGCTTGAGCAGGTCGCGCCCCTTGATGTTGAGGGGCGCACCGAGCCGGCTGTAGGTGTCGAACCCGAGGAGGACCGCCGCCGCTGCCAACGGTCCCAGCGAGCTGTCGAGCATCATCATGGCCGCGGCGATGCACACCGTCGCTTCCCATGGGCATGGGTCGCGGGAAAGGCCCGGGTCCTCCTTCTTGAAGCCGTCGAGGGCGCTGAGGGCCGCGGGCAGGCGCGACGCCGGGACGCGTCGCATCCAGGCGCTGCCGTACAGCACGTCTCTGGCCTCGTGAGCTCGCGCTCCGACGTTGAAGAACTGGATGGCGAGGTACTTCTCGAGCAGCATGTCGAACTCCTGCAGAGAGCAATCCGCCTGCCCCGCCCGAGGGAACGCCTCCGTGAAGCTCCTCATCGCCTGCTGGTAGCGCTGCAGCGTCACCGGCTTCACCCTGCGCCTTGCCAGGTAGCCGGCCTCCCCCTCGGGCTCGTCGAGCTGGTCGCGCTTCGCCTTCCGCCGAACGACAGCGGCTTGACGTTGCTGCTGAGCTCGCTGCCGACGCCGCACCGGCGCGGGCGCCCCTGGGGCAGTCAGGCTGGGCAGCAAGCGCTCGGGCCCGCCGACGACGCGAGTCGCCGCAGCCCCAGCGTTCTGAGTGATCTCCCCACGGTAGTGTGAATCTTCTGGGACAAGTTGGGAGCGGTGGCGGCTCGACTGCATTACCTCCGCACGAGGACGCCAGGTCGAGACGCCATCGGTCATGTAAAACGGGTTCACGAGGATTGCGAAAAGCCCGAGGTGGAGCATGACGCTCAACCACAGTACACGGGGTGCCTAGCCGAAGCAACCAAATCTCCCCAACTCTCATCCAGTTCAGTATTTTGTTGAGGACCCGTGGGTTGGTAACATCATAGTCTTGGGACGTGCTGATGTCGAAGGGGGGGGCGATCCGCAATCCTTTTTGTTGACAAGCTCCTGAAAACCGAGCGCATCCTGCGAACAGCTCCAAAATGGCCAGGCCGCAGGGCGCTGGGGCAATCGGCTTGGAGAGCGTACTGCCGCCTCGGCGCCCAGGCGAGCTCACCCGAGCCGAAGAGGTCGTCTCCCCCTTCGAAGCGGCTCTCAAAGGAACCGGCCCACTTGTGAAAAACGATCGCGTAGTGTCCGATGAAGAACAGGAAAGAGCACGGATCTCGTCATCGTACGACGACGCTCCTGCGCCCAGGCTGGGCGACCCGGCGGCTCGAACTCGGTCTCTATCTGCGAGGTCTCGAAGCCCCCGGCCTCGGAGACGCGCCCACAAGGCGCCTCCCCCCAAGGCCTCGCCCGCCGTCAGCAGCCCACGATCCGCGAGGCGCGAGTCCTCGTCGGAACAGTTCCGCTCGCTGACGAGGTGCCGACGTCGCCACCGAAGTCCACAGGCTCCCTGGAGAGCTCCTGCTCGGCGGCAGAGGGCGTTGAGCTCGCGATCCTTGGCGCGCCCTCTCTCGGTCGCCAGGATCTCCGACAAGTTGTCCCCGACCGACAGAACCTCGGCGTCCCAGTTCCACGAGGACCTCGTATAGCGCCGTAGTCCCAGCAAGGCGGCGCGAGCCCCCTTATTGCGAATGGCGTCGGCGCGGCACCAGGCGCCCACCACGACCCGACGCCAGCGAAGACGGTCAGAGTACGACGGCAGCGAGCTCGGGCACCGCGTGAGTGTCCAAGGTGACGGTCGCGCGCCGCGAGGCCACCCGAGACGAGCCCGCCCTCCGCGAAGTCGACGTCAGATCCGAGGCTCCGATCTCGGTGAAGCCCAGCTCCTCCTCGAAGGCGGGCGCGAGCGACATGGGGCCCGCCGCGATGGGGCTGGGGCCCGTAGCGGCGTCGTCGTCACAGTCCTGCGCGTACTCCTCGATGGTCTTGAACCGCCACCGCTCTCTCCACATCGTCGCGTCTAGGACTTCTCGCTCAGAGAAATGGCCGACGTGGAGTGCGTAGCCTTTACCGCTGGAGTCCGAGCAGAACACCGTGGTCGCCGTCCTCAAACGCATCTGATGCCTTGTGATGAGCACTAGTCCCGCCGCCGTCTGCATCTCGCCAATCACCATCGGCGTCAGGACGCTCACCCGCTCCACGTTATCGGTGAGCCAGCGCCAGACTTCGTGCAAAACTGACATGAACGGCGGGAACAACATGAAGTGATTGACCAGGTGCCCCACCAGCCGTCGGACCTGCCGGTCCGAAAAACGCCGGCACCGAATGGCCGCGTGAAGAGCGTAGTACAGCCGCCAGGTACGCTCTGACTTGTGAGCGACGATCGGGCGAGGTCCTCCTCGCAGCCGAAGGCCCACCTGTACGACGTCGTGCTCCGCGCAGATCTCGTCGCGCCACACGAACCCGCTGCGCTTCAGCTCGTCCAACAGGTACCTGAAGCTATCCTCGGCGTCCTCTCGGTTCCAGCATATCAGGAGCGTTGTCCACGTAGGGCGCGAGAATGGGAAACCCCGGCTGGAGGATCGGAGGCGGCTGACGATCGCGCAGGACCCGCGCGTCAACCGTGTCCCTATCCCCGTGGCCAAGCCTCCTCATCTCCGCGCAAACCTGAACGTCCGTCAGCGCGGAGTGGCAGAAAAAAACAGAGACCACGTCCAGCCCATCGGGATCACCTTGACACACGTCCACAGCATCTCGTCGGCGTCCACCGGGTCCCAGCAGCGACGATCATCGTCGAAGACCGTCTTGATGCCGAAGTCGCTCGCCTTCACCCTATGGGCCAGGCAAAAGTACCCCGCGACCTCCTCGAACTCAAACTGGAAGTAGCCGTCGGTGAGGTCCGCGCCCGAGAAGTGCATGTCCAAGGGTCGGCCCGCAGCGTCGTGCTCAGCGGCCAAGGTTTCTCCGTCCCGCAGCGCGAGGCCCGCCAGCGCCGACGCCGTGGATAGCTGACTGACTGGAGGAGCGCGATGCAGGACGTTCGCCGGCCTGCAGTCCAAGACCAGCCTCAGATGGCACCCGTCCTTCCTGATCACCGTGAAGGCGCCTGCGAAGCAACGGGCCCGTCGGCGAAAGGACAGCATGCCCGCGTCATCAGCTTGTGCACCAGAGCGCCCATGTGACGAGGGTCGCGCAGCACTGGGTCGAGGTAGGGCTTGATCGTCGTCTCCTCGGCGATCCTGTTCTCATCGGTTGGAGTTCTAAATATCCACTTCCAAGGGTCAGCCGCCATCGGCAGGGCGTCGGGCCCTACCACTGCGCCGACTGGCTTGGGGTGAACGCCTCCGTCACGAACCGCGCGAACTCGAGCAGCGTCGAAAGGACGTCGGGCAGCGTCGTCCGTGGTGAAATCGTAGACGTTCAGAGCTCGAAGGACACTCTTGAGAGCACCCCTCCTGTCAGGCCCCGAGGGCGGCCGCCCCGTCATGGAGCGTCTCCCTCAGCCGAGCACCCACTGCACGTTGAAGCCCAGTAGGTACTGATACCGAAGTGCATCGCCGAAGACGATGACCCGCTCGAGCGACCGCCAGCGGGTTCAGGGAGCCCACAACTTCAGCGAACCTCCGATCACAGGCGGCCACATGACGCGGTAAGATGCCCATCGAGGGCGCATCTCGCCAATCTCCAACACACGGAAGGGGAAAGACGTCCCGGCTCGTCGGCTCCAGCGCGCGAACGCCGTCGTCGATGTCCGAGGGGAGACCAGCACCTGCATCGCTTCCTGAAGGCAAGCCGATGGGTGGCGACACGGATGCCAGGTCCCAGGCCGTTCCCTCACGGGGATCATGATACGGGGCCGCGCCACGGCGAACAGCGCGACCCCGGGACCGTAGAGCCATCATGGGCCCCGCGACCCGCTGGACGGGCCGCTCTTGTTCTTGTCCTTGTTGTTAGTCTTCTGGCGCTTCGAGTCTCTCAGCTCCTCCCTCAACAAACGATCTTGCTCCATGATCTGGGCCTGAGTCCTGCGCATCCCAGCCATCTCCATATCGAACTGTGCGGCGACCACACCACCATCACCATCAGTACCCAGAGCGTGGAGCACACACGAACTGAGATTCTCCAGACAAGGGCTCCGAGGATCAAGCTGCACTGCCCTGTGGATCATCAGCACACGGCGTGCCGCGAACTCCGCTGCCGCCAAGTTACACAACTTCAACTTATCATAACTCACCATCATGTGCAGAAACATCAGCAGGTGATGGTGCATCGCAGGAATCGCCTGGGCGCCGTCCTGACGATAAGCGCACTCCCAGCAAGTCGCATACGTGCCAAACTCGTGCCCAGACGCCACCACAATCTCGGCTAACTACAGGAATGACCGGCCCCGCTCGCTCTGGGTGCCTGCGGCCCGCATCGACTGCTTCAGCAACGTGACGACCTCACTCAGCGGAGCCGCACTCGTCTGGGCGTTCGGGCCCAGCATACGGGACAGCAATCTCGAATCGAGGCTCTCGCCTCCCAACTTCTCCCGCACCCAGCGTAGCTTGTCGTCCACGGAGACACGCTCTGCCGTCGTCCACTCCAGGCCGCGCCGCACGAGCGCCTTCGAGCCCATGACCACGGCCTCCGCTCGATTGCCCAGGTGGCGGTCGTTAACCTCCTCCGCGAAAAACAAACATGACGGGTCATAATACATGTGCACTACTTCGGCACCTGCAGCTATCATCGGGGTGGTCGGGTCCTTCGCTGAGCTCAACAAGTCCCCCAGCGTTCGGCCCTCTGCTCTGACCCTCTCCTGGAGGGTACGGGCTTGCCCTCGCCAGCGGGATCATCGAGTTAACCAACGCTCGATCTGACAAGTCGACAGCGCGCACCGAAAGATCGGGGGTAGACCAGATCCAGCGAGCTCCTCCGAGACTGACCAACAATACTCTATGATGGTAGGGAATGCCGTCGTCGGGATAATGAACCAGAATCTGTCTCTCAGGAGTGTCCAGACTCATGGGCGCTGAGGGGCAGACGGGCCTATTTGGCGACCCACTCGAAACAGTGATACGAGGCTGTGTCGCGGAACACACTGGTGCCTCTGTCCGGGAGGCCGCGCGAAACAGGCTCGAGCCAACACCAAGACTACGGATCAACATGTATAGCTGATCCCCTCGACTCACACAAGGAAAAAGGGAAGCGGAGCTACTGGGCATATGTTACGCCGGCCTCTGGGGCCTCTTGAGGGTCCAAAAGAGGTTCCAAACGACGCCCATGATGGCCCCAAGAAGGTCCCAAGACCGCCACAAAAAAATACATGGGGCCCCGAAGAGCGCCTCCACAGGCCAACAGCGATGCCTGTCCTATTACTTTTACAAAATGTTTGCGTTCTCGCCTTCTTCGACTCTCGGGGTCCCATAACGGCCCAAGCAGCATCCAAGATGGCCCCAAGACTGCCCCAGAGGCCCCCTAGAGGGCCCCAACACGTCCCAAGAGGGCCCCAAGATGGCCCAAAGAGGCCCCCAAGACGGCTCAAAATCCCCCCCAAAGCGGCCCCAGAGGAACCCAAGAGAGTCACAAGGCGGCCCCGACAGGCACCCAGGACGGCCTCTGAAGGGCCCAGACGGCGAAGTGGCGCCCCAAGATAGCCAAAGAGGCCCCCAAAAGGTTCCAAGATGCCCTCAGGAAACCCCGAAGGGGCCCGCAAGCCCAAGGAGCCCGCAACCGGTCCAAAGAGACCACCAAGAGGCCCGCGGAGTTGTGTACGGATGGCGCGTTGTCGTATGTTCGTTGCAATTTGAATATGGCGCTGCCTTGTGCTGACACGCGGTGGATACCCATGGCCCTCGTAGACATTCGCACGCTCGTCCCGGCGCTGACACGGGGGGGCCGCATCCGCCCCCCGTGGCGCTGGCAGCGCCCCGGGGCGGGCACAACGACACGGCAGAGCAGCGCGGCCGACAAACAGGGTAAACCACCCAACGCCCAGTCTCTACGTGATCTGGACGTGCACCCCGCGAAGCGAGAGGAGTGTTTGTCCAAAAGTGACGTGCTGAGCGGCAGCGTTTTCCGCGAAAACTGACATACAACGTATCTAACGTGTCTCAGTCTTGTATGATTGCTATGCGTCCTGCCAATTATATAAAGATATATCTCGGAGGTTGGGGGGTTCGTTCGTTTCGTTTGTGTCGTGCGTGCGGGCGAGGCGAAGCTGCGCGGGCGCGCGAGAGGAATGAACCCGCCGTTGCTTGGGCGAAATCAAAGACAATAATTATCCTCCGCCCGCCCGTCTGGCGGTTGGTCGCGGTGTCCCGTGGTGTCCCGTGGTGTCCTGTGGTGTCCGCCGCCGTCCAGCGGTGGCTTGCGGTGTCCCGCGGTGTCCCGTGGTGTCCGCCGTTGCTAGGGCGAAGTCAAGACAAATGATTCTACCCCGCCCGCCCGTCTGTCCGTCCATCCAGCGGTGGCTCACGGTGTCCCGCGGTGTCCCGTGGTGTCCCGTGGTGTCCCAAAAAGTGAGATCGACAGTGAGATCGATAGTGAGATCGAAAGTAAGATCGATACCGAGATCGATGTGGTGCCTCAAGGTGTCCCGTGGTGTCCCGTGGTGTCCCAAAAAGTGAGATCGATAGTGAGACCGATAGTGAGATCGACAGGTATCCCGTGGTGTCCCGTTGAGTGAGATCGATCGTGAGATCGATAGTGAGATCGATGTGGTGCCCCGAGGTGTCCCAAAAAGAAAAATCGACAGTGAGATCGATAGTGAGATCGACAGGTGTCCCGTGGTGCCCCGTGATGTGAGATAGATCGTGAGATCGATAGTGAGATCGATAATGAGATCGATGTGGTGTCCCGAGGTGTCCTGTGGTGTCCGGTGGTGTCCCGTTGAGTGAGATCGATAATGAGATCGATAGTGAGACCGATAACGAGGTCGAGAGATGTCCCGCTGTCCCGTGAAGTCCCGTGGTGGCCCGTGGTGTGCCGGGGTGTCCCGTTGAGTGAGATCGATAATGAGATCGATAATGAGGTCGACAAGTGTCTCGTGGTGTCCCGTGGTGTCCTGTTGAATAAGATCGACAGTGAGATCGATTGAGTCAGATGTTGGTTCCCCCCCCTCCCCCCCCCCCACACACAACCTCCTTATCACCCGGTCGTATAGGTGTGTATATACATAATGACAGATATTTACACAAATTGATCAGATACAGATGCTACTAATCGTACATAGTCAAGTATACCCCCTAGAGTCGCGCCAAATCCGCCGACCCAAGAAGACGCCCCTCGTATAGGGGCTCAAAACGTATCACAACGTATGGTCAATCTATGATATCGGCTTCTGGGGCCTCATTGGGGCCTCCAGACAGGTCAGCATGGCCTCCAGACGGCTCCAGGCAGCCCCAAGACGCCCCAGATGGCCCCAAGAGGGTCCAAGAGGCTCCCAACACGGCCCCAGAAGGCTCCAAGGGGCCCCAACCCGCCCTAAAGATAGCCCAAAGTGGCCCCCAAGACGGCTCAAAAGGCCCCCAAGGCGGCCCCAGAGGCCCCCAAGAGAGCCACAAGGCGGCCCCGACAGGCCCCCAAGGCTGCATCCAAGGGACCAGACGGCGCAATGGCGCCCTAAGACTGCCCAAGATGGCCCCAGAAGGGACCAAGAGGACCCCAAGAGCCCCCCCCTGGGACCCCGAAGAATCCTCCACGAGGCCCCCAAGAAGCCCCCAAACGGCTCCAAGAAACCACCAGGAGGCCCGTAGAATTGTATAAGAATGGCGCGCTGTGAACTGCCCATCACGGTTTGAATTTGGCTTTGCTTTGAGCTGTGCTCATTGCCTTCGTGGACATTCGTACGCTCGTCCCAACGTTGAAACGCGAGGGCCGCATCCGCCCCCCGTGGCGCTAGCAGCGCCCCCGGGCGGGCACAACAGCACGGCAGAACTTCGCGGCAGACTAGCAGGACGAAACACCCAAAGCCCAGTCTTTCCATACTCTGGACGTGCACCCCGCGAAGCGAGAGGAATCATTGTCCGACAGGTATGGTCCCGGGGCGTAGTCTGCGTCTGTTACGTACTCATCGAAACTGTCCTTGCTGCTGAAGCCCAGGGCCTCCAGGCTCGCCTCGTCGATGGAGAGGTAGTTGGCGAGAGCGCACGACATGATGAACGGCGTGTCGCAGGGCGAGTCGCCGGTGCCAGCGTACGCGCCCGTCGTGCCGTCGCCGCAGTAGTGGTAGGTCCCGTTCGAGTCCGGCACCACCAGCGGGAACTCCGACTCCTCAACCTCGCTGGCGAGCTGGAAGGCGCCGAAAACGATCGCGACAATCATCATCACGAGGTAGGACGCGAGAGCGAGGCCAGCAAACATCATGAGCATCATCGTGGCGGTCACAGTGACCTTCCGGACGCCATGCAGCGAGGAGGCGTACCGTTTCTCGTACTCCCTCTCGATGCCGAGGGAGGTGATCGTGCGCATC